TGACTGAGACTGGAGGTGCCCTGGAAAGCATGGCCCCTGGTCTCTCCATCACCCCAGAACTAAAACAATTTCTGAGGCCAACTCTTCACACAGAGATTGGACTGGACTATGCGACATAAAGTGATACTTGTGAAGAATGAGCCTCTTAGTCAAGAAGATACAAGAGACCAAAGGGGTGGCTTCTCTCCAGAGGTGAGATGGGAAGGCAGAGACAGTTAGGAGCTAGTTGAATGTTCATGGGGAATCAGGGGCGGAGGGGAGGAGTGTGCTGTTGCAGAATGGGGTGAGCGGTTGGGGTCTCATAACAATGTATGTAAAAAAAAAAAAATTCTGTATGGGAGACTAACTTGAAATACAAACTTCATTTCATTACAACAATAAAAAAATAGAAAAAAAAAGAATACAAAAAGATTTACACAATGAAAATTATAAAACAATACTATAAGAGACTTTTTAAAAGAGACCTACAAAAATGGAAAGACATCCTGTGCTTATGGACTGGAAGGCTTAATATAGTGAAAATGTCAATGGTACCTAAAGTGATCTACAGACTCAACGCAACCCCGATACAAATCCCAATAACATTCTTTTCTGGAATGGAAAAACGATTGACCAACTTCATATGGAAAGGAAAGAAACCCTGAATACCCAAAGCAATACTGAAGAAAAAGAACAAAGAAGGAGGCCTCACACTCCCTGATACCAAAACATACTAAACAGCCACTATTAGTTCAACAACAGGCACACAGACCAGTGGAACAGAATTGAGAACTCGGAATTAAACCCAGCCATCCACGGACAACTGATTTTTGGCAAGGGGCCAAAGTCCATTCAGTGGGGCAGAAGCAGTCTCTTTAATAAATGGTACTGACAAAACTAGATATCCACCTGCAGAAAAATGAAACATAACTCTTATCTCATACCATACACAAAAACTAACTCAAAATGGATCAAAGACCTAAGTGTTAAATCTAAAACCATAAAATTTTTGGAAGACAGCACAGAAGAAAACTATGGGACCTAATCGTTTGTACAGACAGGATAACATTACAACAAATGAATGACTAGAAGACAAAATAGATAAATGAGACTTCTTAAAAATTAAAAACTGATGCTCATCAAAAGACTTTATTAATAGAGTAAATAAACAACCTATAGACTGAGAAAAAATCTTCAGAATCGACTTATCTGATAAGTGTCTAAGCTCTAAAATCTATAGAAAACTGCAACAACTCAACAACAAAAAGACAAACAACCCAATCACAAAACGGGCAAAGGACATGAACAGAACCTTCACCAAAGAGGGCATCCAAGCAGCCAACAAACATATGAAAAGACGTTCACAATCATTAGCCATTAGAGAGATGCAAATCAAAACTACAATGAGATACCATCTTACCCTGGCTAAAATGGCACTGCTTTAAAAAAAACAGATAACAACAAATGTTGGCAAGGATGTGGGGAGACTGGAACCCTTATCCACTGATGGTGGGACTGTAAAATGGTAAAACCACTATGGAAAATGGTATGGCGTTTTCTCAAAAAAACTAGAAACAGAACTACCATATGATCCAGCAATCCCACTCCTATGTATATACCCTAAAAAAAAACCAAATCCATTGCCGTTCAGTCGATTACAACTTATAGACACCTAAAAATGACACACAAAAAAATATGCACACCTATGTTCATTGCTGCTTTATTCACAATAGCAAATAAATGGAAACAATTGAAGTGTTCATCAACGGATGATGGATAAGCAGTGTGGTACATACATACAATGGAATAAAACGCAACCATAAAGAACAATGATGAATCCGCAAAACATAACATGGAAGGACTTGGAGGACATAATGCAAAGTGAAACAAGTCAAGCGTATAAGGACAAATATTGTATGATCCTTCTTTTATAAGAATTACAAGAATAGATAAATATTGAGAGATCAATGTTCATTGGTGGTTACCAGGAAGGGGGGAGGAGAGGAAAATACAGCAGAGAAGAGTTATTTTTGGTGATGGTAAAAATGGTAGCAATTGTGGATGTAGTGAGCATAGCACAACCAAAGTAATAATGAGTGTTTGAGCACATATGGATGGGTATAGGTAAACTGGAATACAGGTAGGTACAGGTCATACATAGGTGAGAAAAGATAGAAGTATCCATAGGTACATGTAAATATAGTATGTGGGTGCAGGTATATATATTCACTGAAGCCACAAATACGGGTGCTGTCTTAGTCATCTAGTGCTGCTACAACAGAAATACCACAAGTGGATGGTTTTAACGAAGAGAAGTTTATTTCCTCATAGTCAAAGTAGGCTAAAAGTCCAAATTCAAGGTGTCAGCTCCAGGGGAAGGCTTTCTCTCTCTCGGCCTTCTCATCAGTGTTCCCCCAGACTAGGAGCTTCTCGGCGCAGGGACCCCGGTCCAAAGGACGCACTCTGCTCCCCACACTGCTTTCTTGATGGCATGAGGTCCCCCTGTCTCACTGCTCACTTCTGTCTTTTATATCTCAAGAGATTGCCTCAGGACACAATCCAGTCTTGTAGATCCAGTCCTGCCTTACTAACACAACTGCCACCCATCTTCCCTCATTAACATCATAGAGGCAGGATTTACAACATATAGGAAAATCACACAGTACCAGGAATCATGGCCCAGCCAAACTGATACACACATTTTTGGGGGGACATAATTCAAACTATGACAGGTGCTCCTCAGACATAACCAAACACCTTCCAACATTAGTTTTCTGGGTTTGAAGGCTTAAGGCCATAGTCTCGTGGAACAACTCAACTGGCATAACACAATCACAAAAATCACGATCTGCATCCTAGTGAAGTGAGTAGTGTCTGGGGTCTTAAAAGCTTGCAAGCAACCATCTAAGACACAACTATGTGTCTCGACTCACCAGGAGCAAAACAGTAAGAAGGTAATCAAAAGCACAGAGAAGATACAAGTCAGTAAGAGCCACAATCTCACCTACCCTGAGACCAGAAGAACTAGATGGTGCCCAGCTACCACCACTGACTGTTCTGATCAGTGTCTCAACAGTTGGTCCTGGATAGAATGGGAGAAAAACATGCAGCAGAACTCAAATTCTTATTGGAAAAAAAAGCCAGAAAAAGTAGAACAGTAGAGAACCGAGGACCCCCTGAGACGCTCTTTAAATCCAGAACCAAGCTTATCCCGAGATCACATTTTAATGAAATAGCAGAGTGGTATACAAAATAAAGGATATTACCTGTTTAAGGCTGGTTCCTTACTTAAAAACCACCAGTATGAAAGGTCAACAATTACTCAATAACAAAGTAAGAAGATAAGGGGGCAGGGAAACTAGAGTTCTGAAAAGGGAACAAACAGAATACAATTACAGAGAATGTTGACACATTGTGATAAATGTAACTAATGTCACTGAACAATCTGAGTGGAAACGGTCAAATGAGAACCTAACTTGCTGTATAAACTTTCACCAAAAACTCAATAAAATATCATATATATATAAAAAAAAGTTCAAAGTTGCCAGGTTTTAGCAAAGTGATTAGGCCTTATGTTTTAGTAAACATTTCAGAAAGCTACTATGTTTTTAATTGGTTGAAGATGTTCTTAACACCCTTACATATATTTACTGCTTTCAGACTTTAAGGATGTCCAGAACAACTTGATCACGATGATAACAGATACCATTTGCCAGGCCCTGAGCTAATGCTTAACACTCATTATCTTATTTAATCCTGCAACACCTCTGTGACACGGTACAAATTTCCAGGGCTGAAAAGACAGGAGTCAGGAGAGGTGACCTGCTGAAGTTACTCACCCGTTTGGCCACAGCAATCTCTTGTTTTTCTTCCCATTTCTTCTGTTCTGCTCTTAGACGTGCTTTATACTCCGCAAGCTCAGGCAGTTCTTTCAGCCATCGATGACGAGCATTTTGCACAGCTATTTCTACCTGGAGGACATTGCAAGAGAAAGAGGTAAAGTGGGATGCCAAATTTCAAAAAGATTCCATTTTCAAATAGCAACTATACACTGTATTACACACACAAACAACATACACACCCATATAGCTTAGAGACTTAACATATGGCAAATTTTTACGCTGTCGGGAATGAGTTTGTGACTAAAGAATGAGGCAATCCATCAGTTCAGGCACAAATTAAAGACCTGATGAATTATGAGGGTTATCTGTTTATAAACTTGTCACCAGTTATCATGAGATCATTTATTAAATAACGATACACACACATATATCCATATATTCACACAAAATCAGAATTGATATAAATAGCTGTGTTTCTGACTAAAGTGCTAAATACATTTATTTGTAGATTATAGGGAGTTAAAAATAAAGGAAAAAGATACAGCTCCTATAGAAATTTATATCACTTAAAAGTTATTATGAACGTTTTCGTTCTACTATATCATGCTATTTGTTTTTCTTCACAAGACCTATAATTAATGTATCTGTCTATGAGACATTTTCTTAACTTTGTCCAAACCTTTTAGTAAACATTTCAGAAACCTACTCGTTTTTAATTGGTGATGTCCTTGATACGATTACATATACTTACCTATGTCTCCAGACTTTAAGGATGCCCTATAAAACCACACAGAGCAACTTAACAAATGAGCAGTATTTTGAGCACGGATGAAAAGCTGATTATATTGCTAAAACCCTTTATTTCAGGCATTATCTTGTTTAAGAGTTTATAATAAATAACAGATATTAAGGTCCAGGAACCTCTGAAGATCCCGAGATCCAGTCAAAACTATCTTCGAAATAATGTTAAGACCTTATCTGCCATTTCATTCTCTCGGAGTGAATGGTATAGTTCTCCAGAGGCCACATGACGTGATGATGTCATAGCTCTGACAGCCAATGGGATGTGTGTTGGGGTATTCTTGTGCTGTAAAAATTTCTCAGCTTTGTTTTCCAACATAGTAAATACTAAGAGATTTAACCCACATAAACGAAAGCTCTTTGGAGTTTCCAATTTTTAAAAGTGTAAAGGAGTCTTGACACCAAAAAATTTGAGCATCACTGTAATGGATAATACAGATAATATAAGAGACACTAACTCATTTTTATTCTGCTAACACAGAACTATACTTTTCTAAGTATGACATTTCTTAGAAATTAAGTAACTTCCCCCAGTTAAAAGTGAGTTAGCTTTGTGAGTGCTTCAAAGGAAAGGCAATGGCACCACTTTTTGGCAGCTGAGGGGAATTATACAAAAGTCCCATTTAAGGGGTATGCCTGCAGACTCAACTCTACATCAAGTCTCAATATAAATACTGTTAAATAGCTTATTTGCTTTAAGGTTGTTTACCTATAGCTACTTAGTGGAATCTTTTCTTATAAAATTAGATATGGAAAATTCATAATTGAGCTTAATTCAGACATAAAATCCCATCTTCAACCTCAGGCATCTTAATGTTGTGACTGATCTCAGAGGATCAAACGTTTTATAAACTGAAAGAATATACAGAAAAATTGAGAGGTGACAGCTTTGTGACAGAAATATAATGAAGAAACATATATATAATAACATAATAGGCTTTCTACCCTAGAAATGTACAAAATTTTAAAAGCAGAAAAATTATGAACAAGTTAGAGGATAGCATTTTAAAGGTTTTCATTAACAGACAGGCAGTTACGATAACTTTACTAAAATAAACCTGTCTATTACCTGTTTGGCAACATTTTCACAATGCTTAAGTTCCAGTTCAATTTCTCGTTTCCTCCAGCCCTCCTGGAGAACACTCTCCTCTTGCTCTAAATCGTGCTGGATCTTTCGCTTCTGCTCTTCTACCATTGTTGCCATCTCTTCCTTGGAAAGAACATCAACGGCGGATACTTGGTCAGTTTGGCTGCCACAATCTGAAGTCTTCTTTTTCATTTCCTTTAGAGTTTCATCCAGCTTAGCCTGCCACTCCTTTTCAAGCTGTTGAGTGAGTTCTTGTTTAATCTGTTTTCAAAAGAAAAATTGTTTGAGAAGAAAAATATTCAAATAAATAAAAACTAGAATTAATAGCTAGTCAATAAAGCAACCACAGCAGAGTTAGAAAACCATCTAGACAATGTTGTAGTAATTACATAAGGTTTAGAAATTCCATCAATGAAAATATATCCTCAAGTAACACCCGAGTTACTCTTTGGCCTTATCTCTGTGACACAAATCGCATGAAAGATTTAAGTAATGCTGTGCAAGGTCAGGCTATCTCGCTCTCAAGACGCAACCTTCTGAAAGCTCTGACATTGCCACTGCAAAGATGGTATGATTTAAAAAAGTTTTTTTTTGCTATTAATAATTCGTATTTTGCCATAAATCCCATGCTTTGTACAAAGCAGGCACTAGCAAGTCTAATTAATGAATCTAAAATTGAGTGACAATCTGGAAGTATAATTGTGTTCACTTGAACACGTTTGAATCTTGTTTGTTATGATGTTAAATCCCACTGAGTAGACAGTGCATTCAAGAGGGGCCATTATTGGAAGAACGACTTTCCGATTCTTTCCCACTTTCAGCAGTGCATTTTCAGTAGCGCACAGAGCCACACAGAATCAGTCTTATGCAAAACTGGGAAGCAGCCAAGTTTACTTTTCCCTGTTCCTGTTCTCCATCTTCTGGGCACTCAGAGCTCACAAACTGCTTCCCTGGCCCCCAGAGCCCCTGACTGTATTGATTTACTTGAAATGGCCCTCTTGGGTAGCATCTCAAGTTTTCCTGACATTCTCATGAAAACATTAGCTCGTTCTCTCTCTCTCTCTCTCTCTCTCTCATTCCCTTGGGAATTAATTGGTTAGCTAATTCAACTAAAAAAGAAAACTAGGCAACAATGCATAAATGGGGGAATTAGTTTTGTACCATTCAGATTACATGTTTTTATACTGAAAAATGACTAGGAGAATTAATTCCAGGTGCCAGCACTAGATTAATGGAAACGCCATTTTGGGGGAGGGATGGGAGATGAGGAGCAGGGATGCCGAAGCAGAGGACAGTGGTTTACCATCCCATCTTGAGCTAGCGCTGGCTCCAATCAATAGCACTACTGCGGACAGGAGACCCTTGTTTAAGTAGACCAAGAATTTATTTCATTTCCCGTTAAGTTTCTGAGATTATAAGTTGGTTGCTAACTTTCTAGGAAACAATTATTTTCTATTCAGGCAACTGACAGAGTAAGCGTCGAGCTTCTGAGACTGCCCAGTCATCACTTCTTTCCTCTAATCCATAACATGCATTATTTATGCCAAAAATCGGTATGGACTTTTCAGAATCATTTCACGATATGAAATTAGGTCATGGTTTCATTTAGAGGCATCAAAGGAGTACCAAAAAACCTGCTGACTCCTGAACTGGGTTAAAAAATCAAGAGGGGAAATATTTAAAAGTAAAACTGGTGTATAACCTACGAATAGCCTAATTCTGAGACCTAAAAGGGGTGACTATGCATGAACTTGGCAATTAAAATGCAGGAACAGAGTTAATATTACTTTTTTTTAACACAATAATCAGAAATAAATTTAAACCCACACCTCATTCTGTTCCTTCTCCCAGAGTGCTTTGGCTAAGATCACTTCAACTTCAACCTGCTGTTTAATATCAGTTTCTCGTTCTTTCCGCCACTTGTCCTTTTCCATCATAAAGGTATCATGGTACTTTTCTTCAAGTTTCACCTGCAGTTTGCTTACATATTCTTCTCTCTCTTCCAATAGCTGTTTCTTTAAATAAAATTCAAGTAAATATCACTGTATAACACTAACAGTCTCCAGGCTAAACTTATGAAATAATGATTACATGCATGCAATAGACAGCAGCAACAGAGACAGATGACCTTCCTACGTGCTAACTATGAGACGGATTGACACAGTGGCTGTAACGATGGGCTCAAACATAGCAACCACCGTGAGGATGCTACAGGACCCAGCAGTATGTTTCCTTCTGTTGTACGTGGGGTCACTATGAGTCAGGAGTGACTCAGCAGCACCTAACAACAACATGCTAACTCAATCTGTGGACTAAAAATTGTCTTGTAAAGAGTTGCTTACATCTCAAATATTTGGATAAAAAAATTTAAGGATGACTATATTTAAAAAATATCTAATACAATAAAGGCACTCCCAGAAGACAAAGTACTCTTTTAAACAAAGGAAACTGACAATTTTGTTCCTTGCACAGCGTAGGCCCTACCTGTCATGGGACCAATCAGGTACCATAGCCCAGAAGAGACTGATATTTCTAAAAGCCTCGTATTTGAGATAAGCCAAGAATTACAGTTCCATTCTAAAACTATACATCCTGTTATAAATCAGGACGCTTTCTTTCATTATCAAAGAAAAAAAATCATCAAAACTGAAGTGTTATCCAATCAGAACTGTCAATGGTTAATCTGAAATTTAATAATTTGAACTATTCATATAGCCTTCTCTATTCTAGGAACCCAGTTGATCTCAGAACTGGAATCCCTTGCATTATGTTCTATCACTGCAAAGAAAACTCTACCAAGTGATCAAATTATCTGAGAGTTTGTTTTTGTTTTGTTTATTGGTTTGTTTCTTTCAGTTTTCTGCAAGTTTCACCAAGAGGTTATGAGGAGTCACCCACCGAGGCCAATAAAACTATACCACCCGTGAAGGACACCTCACACACTGCCATGCAGCAACAGAACTTTGGCTCTGTTTTGGCATTATTTGTTCATGACTGTCTGGTAGGTTTTCCTCTGACAAAGGACTTGTATTGAGGATACATAAAAATTTCTCAAATTCAATGGTAAGAAAATAAAAAACCCGATTTAAAAATGGGCAAAAGACTTGAACAAGACAGCTCGTCAGAGAAGATATGAGGCAAATAAGCACATGAAAAAATGTTCAACATCACAGCCAGAAGGGAAAGGCAAATTAAAATTACAATAATATACTGCTACATGCCTATTAGAATGTCTAAAAAAAAAAAAATCCTGACAATGCCAAGTTTTGGAGAGGATGTGGAGAAAATGAAACTTTCCTCCATTGCTGGGGAGAGTGCAAAATGGTACAGCCACTCGGAAAACAGTTCTGCAGCGTCGTACGTTGTTGTTTGCTGTTAGCTGCCATCAAGTCAGCCCCCGACTCACAGCGACCCCATTTGTGACAAAGTAGAACTCGCTCCACAGGGTTTTCTTGGCTGCAATCTTTACAGAAGCAGGTCACGGGTCTTTTCTTCCGTGGAGCCACTGGGTGGGTTTGAACCACCAATCTTTAGGTTAGCAGCTGAGAGTAAACCACTGGCACCATCCAGTTCCTTTGCAATTTCTTTTAAGTTAAACACACATCTACCATATAACCTAGTAATCACTCTCCTCAATATTTACGCTAGAGAAATCAAGCTTTTGTTTACACAAAATCCTATTACACTATTGTTTATAGCAGCTGCTGCAAAGGACTTCTTTAAAGTTTTAAAAAGTAAAGATGTTTCTTTGATAACTAAGGTGTGCCTGATCCAAGTCATGGGGTCTTTCAATCACCTCTTATGCATGCAAAAAAGCTAGATAATGAAAAAGGAAGACAGAAGAATTGATGCGTTCAAATTATGGTGTTAGTAATGAACACTGAACACACTGTGGACTGGCAAAAGCACAAACAAATCAGTCTTACTAAAAATACAACCAGAATGCCCCACAGAAGCGAGGACCAGGAGAGATCAACTGGCTTACTGTGGACATGCCATTAGGAAAGACTAACTGCTAGAAAAGGACATCATGCTTGGTAAACTAGAGGGTCAGCAAAAATGAGGAAAAAAACACTAACTAGATAATAGATAACAGGTAACTCTGACGAAGGGAAGACAGTACACAATTCTGGGGAAGTCAGCACTACTTGACCAAGGCTAGGTCATGGAAGCCTCATAGATACATCCAGACTCCACGAGGGACTGAATTACTGGCCTGAGAGCTGGGGACCATGGTCTCGGGGGACATCTAGCTCAACTGGCATAACATAGTTTATAAAGAAAAAGTTCTATATCCTACTTTGGCGAATAGTGTCTGGGGTCTTAAAAGCTTATGAGGCAGCCATCTAAGACACTCCACTGGTCCCACCCCGTCTAGAGCAAGGGAGAATGAACAAAGCCATACACACAAGGGAAAGATTAGTCCAAAGGACTAATGGACCACAACTACCACAGCCTCCACCAGATTGAGTCCAGCACAACTAGATGGTGCCTGGCTACCACCACCAATTGCTCTGACAGAGATCACAACAGAGGGTCCTGGACAGAGCTGGAGAAAAATACAGAACAAAATTCTAACTCACAAAAAAAAACTAGACTTACTGGCCTGACAGAGACTGGAGAAACCCCAGGAGTATGGCCCCTGGATACCCTTTTAACTCAGTACTAAAGTCACTCCTAAGGTTCACCCTTCAGCTAAAGACTAGACAGGCCCATAAAACAAAACGGGACTAAACGGGCACACCAGCTCAGGGGCAAGGACAAGAAGGCAGAAGGGGACAAGAAAGCTGGTAACAGGGAACCCAAAGTTGAGAGGGGGAGAGTGTTGACCTGTCTTGGGGTTGGCAACAAATGTCACAAAACAATCTGTGTATTGATTGTTTAATGAGAAACTAATTTGCTCTATAAACCTTCATCTAAAGTACAATAGAAAAAAAAAGAAAAAGAAAAAAAAATTATTCAACTGTACAACCAAAAAGGGTGAATTTTACTTTATGGAAATTATATCTCCATAAACCTGACTTTAAACAAGGGCGGGGGTAGGGAAACAAAGGAAACCCTCAATGCGATGGATTGACAGAGTAGCCACAACAACGAACTCAAACATACCGATGCTCATGAAGATGGTGCAGGACCGGGCAACATTTTGTTCTGTTATACAGAAGACGGTAATGAGTTGGAGCCAACTCTACAACAACTAACAACAACAACAACATTAATAACCACTAAAAAACTGGAAAAAACCCAAATGTCCTGGGGAGATAGATAAGCAAATTGTAGCCTATCCATACGATGGACTACTAGTCAGCAAGGAACAAACTCTTGATACACACAAAAACAGAATGAATGAATGACTCTCATAGACAATATGCTGAGTGTAAGAAGCTAGTCTCAAACATTTACATACTGAATAATTTCATTTATATGGCATTTCTGAAAAGTCAAAACACAGTGACAGAGAACAGACCAGTGGTTGCCAGCTGTTAGGGATGAGGTAGTGAAAATAACTACAAAGGGATACCATGAGGGAGTTTTTGAGATGATGAAACTGTTCTGTATCCTAATGAATCTATAAACCCCAAAACCATTGACATCAAGTCAATTCCAATCCACAGGAACTGCCCCACAGGGTTTCCAAGGCTGTAAGTCTTTACAGAAACAGACTGCCACATCCTTCTCCTGCAGAACGGCTGATGGATTCGAACCACTGACCCTCTGGTTAGCAGCTAAGTGCGCAACCACCATGCCACCAGGGCTCCTGATGAATCTATACATATGTTAAAATTCACAGAATTGTACACCAAAAGAAAAAAATCAGTTTTACTCAGTTTTTAAATTTTATAGAAGAAAAAAAAATAATTTTGAAGGGCCAAATAGTTTTAACTTTTCTTCTTGCACCTATGCATAAACACTCATGAGCCAAAATAACAGTCAGAGGTAGCTATTTATTGCAACTGACTTATTACATAGAATCCAATTTTACAGTTAAATTCATTTTTTATACCAAAAAATATATTCTCAATGTGTGTGTGTGTGTATGTGTGTGTCTGTGTGTCTGTGTGTGTATATTTAAAAGAAGAAAAGAATCACATTAGAGATCTTTTCCCTACTTTAATTTTTTTAAATATTACTGAAAGCTAAGTCCTCCATTCAAGGTAATTTAAGATCCTTTCTAGCTTTTACAGGACCCCTGGCAGCACAGTGGTTAAGAGCCCAGCTGCTAACCAGATGGTCAGCAGTTCGAATCCACCAGCCGCTCCTTGGAAACCCTCTAGGGCAGTTCTACTCTGTCCTATAGGGTCGCTGAGTCAGAATCAACTCGATGCCATGGGGTTTGGTTTGGTTCTCTAGCTTTTACACTGCCAACACTGAGACGGCTCCTTTTAGAAGTTCTTTTTCCACTATATGATATGTACACATGGCATATTTCTTCTCATATTAGTCTATTCAAAAATAATCAGAATATTAGATAAACTAAATTCCTCACCTGCTCTCTACTATTCTTAAGTCAGTAATAGCAATAGTTTGCTTTTAATATAACTTATTCAGAGACCTATGTGTAGAACAATTATCCAAGCCTTTACAAACATTTTCTAATCTTAGGGCAGGTGGCTTTCAAAGTGTGGTCTGCAGGCTGGTCCAAAGTGTGAGGGAGAGTTAGGCTGTGCCCGGATGAGGTTCCCCACCAAGACAGGGAGAGGAGGAGGAGGGGTGACTGCTTGCTGCATGTGACTCTACTGCTGGGCCCTCAGCAGAGTACATGCGGCCCTCCAGCATCCCTGAAAGGGAGAGGTGCTCTGAATGAGGTCACTCTAACACTCAGACCCTCCTTTCAGGTCCTCCACATTAGCACCTTCCCTATAATGAGGCCCTCAAGTTCAAACTCCTGCACGTCTCCTCAACAAAATAAAATGACAGAGTAAGGTGCTGAGAGAAAAATGGGGCAGAAGGAAAACATCTCAGGACTGTGCAGGGTCTCCTGGGGCGTCTACAAGCCAATGAAAAATGAGAATCCGTGAGTTTCAGACATGAAGCAGCTGTGGTCCACCTCTTGCTTATTTTTAGAACTCTTTTTTCCTTCCTAGAATAAATCTATAAGGGGAATCATTTTTATACACACATATAAATAGAGAGAGAGACATAGACAGAGAAAGGTACACCTGTGTGGTACAAATGATTAATGTGCTTTGTGGCTAACCAAAAAGTTGGAAGTTCAAGTCTACCCAGAGACACCTTGGAAGAAAGGCCTGGCGATCTACTTCTGAAAAAATCAGCCATTGAAAACCGTATAGAGCACAGTTCTACTCTGACCCACATGGGTTGCCATGAGTCAGAATTGATTCTCTTTCTCTATATATATCCTTTTCTACTAAGGTTTTTAATAATCATTTTAATATTTACTATATTTTGTGAGCTGTATTAGTGTGATATAGTCAAAAGTAAAGAGACTTCTATATATACCTTCCCCATTTCACAAGACAGCAAGTGTATTGGTTTAAATGACAATACTGAGGCCTAAGAAAATTTCCACTATACCTTTTCCTCCTGAGATTGCTGCTCCTTCTCAATGGCCTTCCTGAGATTCAATTCAAGATTATCCTTCTCTCGGCACACTGCCAGGTAACATTCTTGCACTGTGGCCATCTCCTTATTCATCTTATCTAAGTCGGACCTTGCATACACAAAACCAGAAACTTAATAACCACAAAAAATACAAGGGCTGCATAAAAAACAATTTTCCTCTAAGTAACAGAATAGGAAAATGTAGTCTCTATATTTAAGTCAGCCACTCTCTTTTCTTCTCACCTAAGCTGCAAGCGAGTCCCCTCATAAACCTCAAAGAGCTGCTGCTTCTCCAAAGCATGCTTTGCTAACAGGCTGTCACGTATTTGGGTTTTCATGGCTTCGTGGTGCTGCTGGTAAGTCCTCTCACACCTAGAAACAGAGAAAGAATCAAGGCCATGCCCACCACCACTGGAAGCACCAACATGAACTTGTTTTTCCTTCCTTCCTTCTAATCTCTTTTCTTTAATGCAAACTAATTAAAGTCAGATTGGGTTTCCCCAACCAAAAGCAGTAATAATTAATTTACAACAGATAGTCTTACGAGAAATTTCAAAATTTTCCTTCTTCGAATGTTTCTAGAGAATAATTGAAACTCAGATGTGAGAGTGCCCCAGTTCTTCAAACAGAAACAATAGTTCATGTTGAGAACTTCTGTTTATAAAAAAATTAGTTGAAATAATTGAGGATGTGGTCCCAAAATTCCAAATCCTCTATACTAAACACAAATATTAGTTAGTTCCCAACTCACAAGTAAGTTATGTTCCAACAGTCTGTTTCTAAGTTTATGATTTGGTACTTGGAAGACATACTCCCTCCCACAGACATCTTCTTTATAAAGAAGAGTAATTTGACTCCCAGACTAGCCTTTAAAAAAATAAAAACTAAGCTATAATATTTCTGTGAACTATAGTTTTCATGGTGCTCTAGAATCCAACCCACTATATAACACTGTTTCTATGGATATGTGTTCCGAATTCTAGTTTGAGAAGCCAGGGATTCATCTTCTCCAGTCTAAGGTCTCAGTAGGGAGGTTTCACACCATCACTTCTCTTGAATCTTCTTGGCAGGCGAGAAGAATCTGGGAAAGGAAGCAGGGAGGCAGGCACTAGGCCTCTACAGGGACCTTACCTATCCACAGCTTCTTGTTTATCACGGTCAAAATCTTGTACCATTTGTCTCATTTGATTACATAAGTCTTGATTTGTATTTCTCAGTTTTTCTTCAGTTTCTTTAAGTTCCTAGGTACAAATGAATAAATTATTTAGAGGAAATAAACATCATTTTCATTGATTTAATGTAATCTTTTTGTTTTTATTCCCTGCCATGTAACATTACCAAAAAAACTACATCCATTGCCACTGAGTCGATTCTGACTCATAGCTACCCTTTAGGATACAGTAGAATTGCCCCATAGGGTTTCCAAGGCTGTAGAACTTTACAGAAGCAGACTGATACGTCTTTCTCCAGCGGAGCAGCTGGTGGGTTCGAACCATCGACTTTTGGTTAGCAGCTGAGTGGTTAACTATGGTGCCACTAGGGTTCCTTCCATATAACATTAGTTGGCATAATATCATTATCATAATTCTACAAAAGAAAAGACTCTCTTCATACTCGGAAAAGAGCACAGATTCATTTTCTCTGACGAGTAGCTTTCTGATAGGAGTAGCAGTTAAAATTTTGTATTTATTTTGAAATATATGGAATGAAAACACTCAACCACAGAAGTATTGGCTAACTAATGCCTTAAAGTAAGTCTTGGAATTTAATAATCTTTAGCAGTGATCTAAATAAGCAAGGTTTTCCTTTTGGGTCAAAGTCTAGCTAAGCATGCCTCTATCAGTCATGCCACTATATAAACAGGAAACTGAAATCACACTAACTGACCTCCTGATGAAAC